GGGTGCCAGCTGACTCTTGTCTGAATCATTAACTTCTTGACTGTGCTCTTTGAAACTCAGGGAAGACCTAAGGAGATTGAAGTCTTTTTCACAAACCAGATAAGGGAGACACCAAGGGGCCTTGTACCCAGGAGGGCCCCACAGGGTCCTGCTCAGTTCCAGTCTCCCCTTTTCTATGATACTTGTCAATTTCAAGGGGAACAGGTGTGGAACTAGAAAGGGAATAAAGTTTTGGATAGAGTGGTTAATCATGAACCCGACAGAGAAACTGTTCTGGGGGGACGCAGATTCATGCCAGCTGGGTGACCCCGTGGCCTCTGCTCTCCCTGACTTGATTTGATGGTTTTTTTCCTCCTGTCTTTCAGAGGGCTTTTTATGTTTCAGGACATGATTGAGGCTTTGGGTCCTAGTGGAATACCAATTTTGTTTTTCCAGATTTAGTCTGTTGTTTTTGTTATTGTTGGTTATGTCAGTAGAAAAAAAAACCTCTTACTTCATCTTTCATTAAGAAATGACTCAGCAATTGCAATTTAATGGGGTATTTCCCCCCAGTTTTCATGGATAAAAAATTTTAATTCTTTGCCTCCTTTAAAGTTTCTTTTCCCCCAGAATTTAATTTTTACTCCTTGGCTGAATATGTACTTTAGATCCAAATTAAATAGAGTCTATATTTTTAATTTCTCTTGTAATTGGGAATAAGTTAAAATTAGTAGTATTGAATTTTCACTTCACACATTTTTTTAATAATAACATCCTCCCTGTTTCCCTGCTCTCAAAAAAAAAAAAAAAATGAATCCTACATGAAACAGGGACAAATGGTTCATGTTTAATTCAAATTAAATAAAATATGAAAAGGTTGGTTTAAAAAATTATGTTTAAATTTTAGTGATAAAATTTCACATTCAGGAACTGGAAAGCAGAAGAGGAACAGATGAAAAAGCATCCTGGGTTTAGGTCTTCATTAGTTGTGAGATTTTGGCCTGATCTCTAAAAGAAGGATTAGATCAGGCCCCTCGAGGGCTTTTCCTATTCAATTTATTTGTGACTTTATGAAGTCGCCTCTTTGAACGCTGTCTTAACGCTGATGTGCCTCAGGTGTCTAGTGATCTTATAGGTCAGCTGATCCCTAGCCATCCCCTCAAAGCCTGCCTTCATCTGGATCCTAATTTAGTTTGGCATTCCCCAGTGATGTAAAAGGCAACTCGTGCTGGGCAGCCTTCTTGGTGGCCCCCTCATCAAAGGTTGACAGCTCAGCTGCCTTCCTGTTCCAGAGCATGGACCCTTGCTGGCACTGAACTGAGACTGCTAATTGTTCCACCTCTAGGATCTCATTTAAACCCAAACTGCCATCCCCAAGGTATATTATTTGGTTGTCCGTCAGACTCATTGAGAACAGTTATTTCAACTTGGAAGGGAGATTTTAAATGGAGGAGAAGTTAAGTTTTCTTTTCTAGTGTTAGATTATCAGTCAATCAGTTCAGTCGCTCAAACGTGTCTTTGCGACCCCGTGGACTGCAGCCCGCCAAGCCTCCCTGTCCATCACCAACTCCCGGAGCTTACTCAAACTCATGTCCATCGTGTCAGTGATACCATCCAACCATCTCATCCTCTGTTGTCCCCTTCTCCTCCCGCCTTCAATCTTTCCCAGCATCAGGGTCTTTTCAAATGAGTAGGTTCTTGGCATCAGGTGGCCAAAGCATTTGAGCTTCAGTTTCAGCATCAGTCCTTCCAATGAATATTCAGGACTGATTTCCTTTAGAATGGACTGGTTGGATCTCCCTGCAGTCCAGGGGACTCCAAAGGGTCTTCTCCAACACCAGAGTTCAAAAGCATCAATTCTTTAGCGCTCAGCTTTTTTTATAGTCCAACTCTCACGTCTATACACGACCACTGGAAAAACCGTAACTTTCACTAGACAGACCTTTGTTGGTAAAGTAATATCTCTGCTTTTTAATATGCTGTCTAGGTTGGTCATAGATTTTCTTCCAGTGAGCAAGCGTCTTTTAATTTCATGGCTGCAATCACCATCTGCAGTGATTTTGGAGCCCCCCAAAATAAAGTTTCTCACTGTTTCCACTGTTTTCCCATCTATTTGCCATAAAGTGATGGAACCAGATGCCATGATCTTAGTTTTCTGAATGTGGAGCTTTAAGCCAACTTTTTCACTCTCCTCTTTCACTTTCATCAAGAGACTCTTTAGTTTTTCACTTTCCGCCATAACGGTGGTGTCATCTGCATATCTTAGGTTACTGATATTTCTCCCAGCTATCATGATTCCAACTTGAGCTTCATCCAGCCCAGCATTTCTCATAATGTACTCTGCATATAAGTTAAATAAACAGGGTAACAATATACAGCCTTGAAATACTCCTTTCCCTATTTGGAACCAGTCTGTTGTTCCATGTCCAGTTCTAACTGTTGCTTCAAGGTTTCTCAAGAGGCAGGTCAGGTGGTCTGGTATTCCCATGTCTTTCAGAATTTTCCACAGTTTCTTGTGATCCACACAGTCTTTGGCATAGTCAGTAAAGCAGAAGTAGATCTTTTTCTGGAACTCTCTTGCTTTTTCAATGATCTGGTGGATGTTGGCAATTTCATCTCTGGTTCCTCTGCTTTTTCTAAATCCAGCTTGAACATCTGGAAGTCCACGGTTCATGTACTTTTGAAACCTGGCTTGAAGAATTTTGAGCATTACTTTGCTAGCATGTGAGATGAGTGCAGTTGTGCGGTAGTTTGAACTTTCTTTGGCATTGCCTTTCTTTGGGATTGGAATGAAAATGACCTTTTCCAGTCCTGTGGCCACTGCTGCGGGTTTTTTGTTAAGGGCCACAAAGTCAGAGCATGTGGGAGCCCGCCAGTGGCGAGCCAGGCAGGGGTTACTTCTTAGAGGTCCCCAGAAGACATACCCAAACATTCCCATTCCCTGGCTGCATGGCACCATTAAAAGAATTTCAGGGTGAAATTTCAGCTATGTGTTATCAGCCAGACCCTCTGTCTGCAGTGATCCTACCCTTCTTTAGTGCTATATTAGAGAAATAGTCATTGTTTAATGACCCTTACTTTAAAGACTTTCTATTCCCAAAGAGAAGCAGCTGATTTCTTTGTTAAGGTCACCATTACGTCATCACAGACTTACTGGGACCAGGACAACCCTGGAGGTCATACAGTGTTTATCAGCAGAGGGCGCTGTTGCTACTTCTCCTTTGTATGAGATTGCCCTCCAGCTCTGCAGGAAGTCAGCATTGCTGGCCCCTGGGCTCTGAATATCACAGTACTATTCTCCTCCACTCAGTCACTGTGAAAACTAAATTCCCAACTAATTTTCCTACATTTCCTTGGGGTGTTAAGAATGATACCTTCCCCCCCACCCCGCCATCTCCGACCACAGGGCGCAGTTTGCAGATGGATGATTAGAACTTGCTTCTGATGAACCAGCTGGTCATGGGCGGAACCAGGCCTCTGGAATTCTGATCCAGGACTCTTAGTGTGGTAACCCTTCCACCCCCTCCCTCAGTTTGTTGAAAATTGACGTACGTCTGCCACCATATTGGATTACTGATTTAAAGTCTTCTTATTTGTGCTTCTTCCGGAATGAGGAGGAAAGACAGGAAGCAGCAAGGGGGTTGAAAGGTGAAGGAACCACTGTTAGAATCAGGCAGATGCATACGCAGAGCTGGGACGGATGAGAAGAAAAGTGACAGGCAGCACCAAACCTGTCTCCTCCAGCTTCAGGTGGATATGCCCTCACTAACAGCTGCTGTTCATCCAGAAACATGCCACCCCGTCTGTGGGCTGGGCACCCACTTCTCCGGGCGCTAGGACTACGATGATGAGGCACACGCTTTCCTTCATGAAACGTATAACCTCAAGGGAAGACAGCACTCAGAAGGAATCCCAAGACAGGGCTATAAACAACTACAGCCAGCGTCTTCTCACAGCTATTCTGTGCCAGGCCCTGTCAAGCACTTTACAATTACTATCTCATTTAATCCTCCTTGCACTGCCATGAGTTAGGTTCTGTCATTATTTCCATTTTTCATATGAGGAAACTGAGACCTAGAAGGCGAAAGGGATTTGTCTTGGAAGCTATATTATACTGCCTGATAACAGTCGCAGGTACAATGTATTTTAAAAGCCACGTAAAGAATGCATTTAGAAGTAATGACACTGACCAGCTTTACCCCTGTCTGAGAGTCAGTTATAGACTTTATGTTTCTCATGCAGATAAAGCTTCACTTTGAGGATGTCCTCCTCTCCACACCCAGTTCTCTTCCCATTTCAAGTGCCTGATGCTTCCTGTTGTTAAAAAGGCCAGAGATACCCACTCTGGGGAAGCAGTTCCTTGGGCTCAGTAGTGTCTCTTTGATCACAAATTCAGATTGATTGCTCTCTATTTTGCTTTAGGTCCCCTTTTAAGATGAAGATAAATTAGCAGTCTCAAGTGAACTCCAGCAGAGTCATATCCATTNAGATTGATTGCTCTCTATTTTGCTTTAGGTCCCCTTTTAAGATGAAGATAAATTAGCAGTCTCAAGTGAACTCCAGCAGAGTCATATCCATTTGAGACTGTCACAATACAAGAGATTTTAATAATCAAGGAAACTAGCATTTTTTCACATACCAAGGGCTTGCTGACAGAGGAGATGCTTGCGTCTGCTGCACCCAGATATTCCATGTACACCCCTCCTCCAACTCCAGCCCCTGTCTAACACCTTGGAGAGGAGGTAGAACCTCATTATTTGACATTGTCTCTTTTATTAAACTTGACAAAACCTGCTAAAACAAACTCAAAAGACAAAGTGATGGACCTGTGTTACAAAATAAACTTTAAATAGAGGTTGATCTACAAAGCATTTAAGATTTCTCTGTCTGTCTGTCTGTCTATCTATCTGTCTTCCCCATGGGCACTCTGTAACATTGATCCACATAATTGTTTGTTACAGTTGAAGCCTAATGCTAATGTTGCTTATCAGAACTGAGTTGTTTCAAAATTTTTTTTACAGGGTCGTCATGTCAAAACAGGCCAGCTGGCAGCCATCAAGGTTATGGATGTCACAGGGGTAATGTATCTTTATCTTGCCATCTCAAAGTTGTTTTATATATTTGTCTTAAGAAGTTAGTGATAGAGAAAACTCATTTTTTGGAAATAGAATCGTTTTTAGACATCTAAGACCTTTCCCACTTTCGCTTAACATTAAGAGTATTCAGCAATTGACTGAGATGACCATGGGTAAATCATTCTAATTAGGTACGTACACACTGCCTTGTGTAAGGCAGAGTGAAGAACAGTGTGTGCCAATAATTTACATAAACACAACTGAGGACATTTGCATATGAAGACAAAACAAGGATTTGAAGGTATTAAGAGAATAATACTGAGATTACACTGAAGAGGTGGATCTCAAGGGTTTTCCCCAAAGTCCACCTAACACTGGAATAGGCAAGAGTTTGGATGGCTGTAAAATCCTAGTAGGATGTATAACATGAATATTTTCTTCCCCAAAATATTGTGGACCAAATATTCACCATATGCACAAATACTTATTATTATTGGGCAACACTGAAATAAAATTTCTGCCTGGATAATCAAAAGCAATCTAAGAAATAGACTTTATTTTAAATACAATCTTATGCTTTCAATCCCTTTTGCTAGGCCTATTTAAAATATTTTAATGCCTTTTCTAGAGTACAGAGCAAAGATCAGACTTGAAAGTCTCACTCGACATCAAAAGCATGTCAATAATTTTCTATTGTCTTGGGAATTTTTCTAAAGATGTCTGTCAGCTGTACATAAAAGCTAAAAGACCACAGTCTTCCTTTTGTCCCAGAAGTGGATTACTTAGTGTAAAGAGATGTAGAATGAATAGGTCACACAAAGATATCAAGAACCAGTATGCAAATAAGAAATACACACAGTTTGTCCATAAGTCAGACTTCAAGCCTTATCTTCTTGGTCCTGTTTGTCACCTTTGATAAGTACACATTATATGCTATACTTTTCATTTATACATTTATGACTTCCTTTCCTTAGTCATTTTTTAATCTGAATTCCTCTTTATGTTATATGTGGTTTTAAAATTATATGCATTTTAACAGGTGAAAAATTTTGTTCCCATGTGTTTAGAACCACTTAAAATACTCCTTCCTTTTATTTGTCTTATATGCATTATTCAAATTTTAGAGTTTGCAAACCATCTCAAATAGTTCATCACAATTAGTTTTTTAATTCACCTGGCCTTTACTGAATACAAAAAATGCATATAGATTATATTAATAAGGTTTAGTTTCTGCCACTTGTAAAAGAAAATTAAAATTAACAGAGACTTAAGCTTGATGAAAGTGTTATACCATCACATGTTAAATGAGTTTAGAGTCGACAGCCCAGAAATGTATAGCAGCAATGTGACAGAGTAGGAGGGTGTTTTAATCTTTCTGTTCCACCATTCTGACACATAGCTTCCACACTTAAGGTCAGTTCCATGACACAAGGTGGTTGTTGGATTTCCATTGATCACGTTCTTTGGCGGGCAAAACAAAGGTGGGTAGGATGGGGAGAGAGTTGGTGGGAGAAGAGGATACAGAATATAGCCCCTTCAATGAAATTCTTTCTACTTACATACAACATTTTTATTTACTTCTGCTTTCCTTGGCTACCTTGCTGCAAGGGAATCTGGGAAATGTAGTCTTTCATCCTACCAATGTGCCCAGTTCATCTGGGTTCTTTTATTAGTCAGGAGTGAAGGGAGAATGTGTTTTTCATTAGCTGGGTCTGATAAAAAAATCAAGAGCAGATACTATCAGTTTCTTCACAGAAACTCATTAGAAATGTATAAATCTTTCACAAGCTCCCTGCAAAAAACAAGAATTTATTTTGCAATTCTGCTGAAGTTGTACTACTGTATTTTCCTTGGATTGAACAGGATCGCCACATAATGCAGCACACTTGGCAGTTGAACAACTAATGGATGTGGATGGAGTCCAAGACATTCATGCCATAAAGTTCTGTTGTGTGGGTCTGCAGAACTGCAGTTGAGTTCCACTGATATCATTAATCTCGGTGCACAGTTGTGCACAGAGCTGTATATTGATGCACAAAGTATAAGAGAGCTCTGAATATCACTTTTCTGGTTCTATTTGTGAGATTTTAAGTTGCTCAGAGAATTATTTACTATTGCTAGACCACCTTGCTTGGAAGAAAAAAAGGTACACAGCAGTTTATCCCAGAGTATGTATTTTCATAGCTACGCTATGTTAGTTAGCCTCTCTAAACTGGGTTTCACAAGGCAACTGAACCCTACAGAAGATGATTTAGAGACAATTTCCTCAATTCTCCCCAGGATGGTGAGGAGCTGGCACCATTTCAATGCACAGGAGAGTCAATCCATTGCATATAATGGATGCTTTATAGTATGTGGGCTTGATTCTCTTGGGGAACCTCTGTTGAAAGGGCTGGATAGTTCTCTGTTTTAGGCACATCATTGACCATGACCATTATGAAACCACTGACCCTTAACAAAGGCAAACATGGATATACATCGGGAAATGGTTTCCTTATTTCCCATGGCGTATGATCCAGCAGCAAATGACTGTTGTATCACTCCTGTACACATCATAGTCAACATAAGATTTCCTTTGTGAAATTCATGTGGTGTCCTCAGAAAACAATCTATTTCATTTTGCCATGTTGTCTTTTGTGTATTATGGAATGTTGTAAAAGCTTCTTACCAATTATTATAATTGTGCTCATTATAGCTGCCCCGAGATGAATTCTCAAAGGTCGCCTTTGTTAATTGTTTGCATAGAAAGTTACTATAGATTATTGTAATGAAACTGATAAAACTATCACCTTGAAATCAATTTTTAAATTATTTTTATTCTATACCGTGTCCTTTTTTAAAGAAGAAAGTAATACAGAAAAAAATGAGTGTAATATTTATGTTCTTTAGTCTTAAAGCTGAGACACTCCCAAATTTGCCCATATTTGCTTCAGAATTAGGGCTTAAACTCAGTCTTTGAAGTTCTTTCGGTTTCTGAAATAATTATGAGAATTTTTGCATTCCAGTGTTTTCTGGGGATTCGTTCCCAGCTGGATTTGTGTACTTTAATTATCTAAACAAAACTGTATCCTCTAGGGCAGTGTTCCTCATAGTGGACGGCTAATATCTATGAACTTTCAGCACACTTGGGGTGCTCATCAGAAATGCAGAAATACTGGGCTTGCTGCAGAATTTTTAGGTGGAGCTTCAGAACTTGCCTTTTTTTTTTTTCTTTTGAAAAGCACATAATTTTTTTATTTATTGCTTTTTTTTTTCTAAGTTTGTTGAGATATAATTGACATACAGTAGGTATACAGCATAATGATTAGGCTTACAAATATCAAGAAAAGATTATACCATAAGTTTAATAAACATTCATCATCTCATATAGAAACAAACTTAAGAGAAATAGAAAAATGATTTTTTTCTTGTGATAAGAACTCCATTTCATCAATCTCATTAGAGCTGATTCAAATGAATTCATGTGGGAGAAGGCGAGGGTGGGATGTTTCAAGAGAACATCATCGAAACATGTATTTTATCTAGGGTGAAACAGATCACCAGCCCAGGCTGGATGCATGAGACAAGTACTTGGGCCTGGTGCACTGGGAAGACCCAGAGGAATCGGGTGGAGAGGGAGGTGGGAGGGAGGATCGGGATGGGGAATACATGTAACTCCATGGCTGATTCATGTCAATGTATGACAAAAACCACTGCAATATTGTAAAGTAGTTAGCCTCCAACTAATAAAAATAAATGGAAAAAAAAAGAAACCTGAGGAAAAAAAACTCCAGATTTACTTTACAACACTCATATATAATAGACAGCAGTGTTAATTATATTTATCGTGTTGGATGTTATGTTCCTGAGAAGCACAGAATTAGTTCAGTCCAGATAGATGATTCTGTTTTAGTCAATTCACAAATTTAGTTTGTGTAAATTTCCTTTGTCGTATAACCTCTGCAATTTCAATGGATAAACCACTCTTCATTACTTGTGGAAACCTAACTAAAATAATCAGATGACATCTTTGATGTACACTAATTATTATTGAGGTTCCTTTACTTCTGTGTTTAGCAATACTAGGCCAAGGAACCACTTATAGAACAGCACATTTCCCATAAAATTCTGGATGTTATCTAAAAAGTTCATCTTTTACAATTCATGACTAAACTGGTAAAATCAGAGAATTCCCTGTCAGACAGAAATGTCAAATAATCAGAGGATTAAGTAAAGAAGGTAAGCGTTACAATTTTTCCATATGTCTGCTGATCCCTGATGGTCTGGAGTGTGGCGGATTCTGCCTTTTCTACAAGCTCATCAGGGTCTTCATGCACACCAACCGGAACAGAACTTTTCTAGGCCAAGTATGAAGAGACTATGGTCCTTTGATCACCCTGCAAATAATCTCCATCTTCATTTGGATCAAAATTTCTGGTGTAAACTAGTCCCTTTGCAATGATACTTTGAAGTCCATGTAGGACTCGATAACATAATAACTTGGTATTGTAGGCTTTCATCTTAACAATGACTGGTTATGATCATTACTCAGGACATGTTGGGTTTTAGTACCAAAGCCCCACTTAGAATGGATGACGCTGAAAACAGAATTTATTGTTTTGTGTATATTAAAAAAAAAAAAAAGCTCAGCAGGGTCTAGGAAGTAACATAATTAGTTGGGAATTGTGTATCTCTCTCCATCTCTGAACTTTGCTTTCTTTCCACCAGCAGCTGCAGGCTCATGTTCTAATTACTTCATTGCCCTTAGTCTCAGCAAGAGTGCAAGTCTCAATATCAGAAGCCCAGCTTGGGTCACCTCACCATCCCAGTGCCGATTCTGTTTCTCTTGAGCCACGTCTGGTCCCTTGTAGCTCTGATGGTAAAAAATGTGCCCGCAGTGCTGGAGACCCAGGTTTCATCCCTGGGTCAGAAAGATCCCCTGGAGAAGGAAGTGGCAACCCACTCCAGTATTCTTGCCTGGAGAATTCCATGGACAGTGGAGCCTGGTGGGCTATAGTCCATGAAGTCGCACAGTTGGACATGACTGAGCAACTAACAGTGGAAAGGAGGCATCCTTAAAGAAAAACCTGATAACTGTT